ACTGATTTCTAGTCGTGTCCTCTTTTGGAAGGCCAAACAAAGTAGTTTCGCTTTCACAATGAAACACACAGCTTCTTCACAACATGGCAGCGGCAGCAGCAACAATAAAGTTACGCCTTCTTTCTTTGCGTGAACATTTGGGCGGCGTTATGTAAATCTTCCCACATAGTGACGTAGACATGTGGGGGCGTGTTAGAACGAGCTGTTTTAGGTAGGTGTGGTTAACTCTTAACTTTTATAAAGAATATCTCTTTGGATTTGAGACTTTAGTCTTTGCAACTTTACAGATCTTCTTTATGCACCAAGAGCTTGTAACACTCCAAAGAGAAAGGAAAAATTGAAATCGCATCATATGACCCCTTTAATGCAATATGACCTTCCCTTTCTTATATCTTGCTTAAAGTTGCACTAAGGCAAGGCCGTAACCAGAGCTGGGTAGATTACTTACATATTGTAGTCCGTTACTGATTACAGATTATATGATGAAAATTGTAGTTGGTAATGTAATCTAGGTTACTCATTTTAGGTATTGTATTCTCACTACTTTAATTACTTTTAGATATATTTTTTTTATCCAGCTTGTTCTAAACTTACCATTAAACATAACATATTCATATAAAAAGAGCAAAGAGAAAATTTATTCAATTTTTTTAAAGGAAGATTTAAAAGAGAAAAAAGAAGAGTTAGGGCGAACCAATATAACATGAATAATTTACTGCCTTTGTTTGAATAATCATGTAATCCATAAAAAAGTAACTAATCTGATTATGAGCATTTTAAATTGTAATCTACTCTAATTACAAGTACTTAATTTTTAAAATCTTATTACGTAATCCAGGTTACATGTAATCAGTTACTACCCAGCACTGGTCATAACCATGTCCTGAACAATGGGGGTCCTTTTTTTTTTTGAATAAACCTTAAATAAATAAAATAGTAAAGGAAATTCTAGGTCTAATTCTAGTTGGCAAGTAATAATTTTTAACTGTTTGCAAACAGTATTTTAAAATATGCAAACATTTAGTTTTATTAGTATGCCTAATGTGTCAGAAATGCAAAACGCTTCAAGTCTCATCACATTCAGTTAGGAATTACATTAATCACGTAAATTATACCATATTTTCATAAATTATACCATAAAATACATTTATTTATTTATAGTAGGAAATTTACAAAATATCTTCATGGAACATGATCTTTACTTAATATCCTAATGATTTTTGGTATAAAAGAAAAATCGATCATTGTGACCCATACAATGTATTTTTGGCTATTGCTACAAATATACCCCAGCGACTTATGACTGCTTTTGTGCTCCAGGGTCACATATGACCACTGTTACATGAGCAAAACACATACAGACTTTATTTATTGAGACGAGTGTGCATATTCTTATTAACTCTTAACATTTCCTGAGTATAATTGAATTTGGTTTTGTCCGTGCTTTTTCAGTCTCTCTCGAATCCCAGGAGGCCGCTGTACTGTACCTGCCTTGCGTCGTCACGGTGGATGAGATTGTGAACCAAATCGAGGTGGCTGGTTTCAAAGCCATTGTTAAATCAAAACCTCGTCAGTTAAAGCTTTCAGCTAGTGAAGTCGAGCGCCTGCTCAACGCTCCCAAACAGGAGGAGAAGGTTTCAGAGCCGTGCACAGACTCCAGCATCACTACAGTGTTTCAGGTTACGGGAATGCACTGCAAGTCTTGCGTGGTCAATATTCAGGACAATATATCCAAGCTGCCTGGAGTGAGTTCGGTCGTCGTGTCCTTGGAGAACAGACAAGCTACGATTCAGCACAACCCAAAACAAGCCTCAGTGGTGGAGCTACAGAAAGCCATCGAAGCCCTTCCTCCAGGGGATTTTAAAGCTATCCTCCCAGCTTCCCCAGAGCCAGGCTTCCTCCAGCCGCTGGTATCAGTCGCGGAGATCCACATCGAGGGCATGACCTGTGGCTCCTGTGTTCAGTCCATCGAGGGCATGATCTCCCAGAAGAAAGGAGTGAGATCGGCCCAAGTGTCACTGGCCAATCATCAGGGAACCTTTGAGTATGACCCTTTAGTGACGACCCCTGAGGAGCTGAGGGCCGCCGTAGAGGACATGGGCTTTGATGCTTTTCTCCCTGGTAAGTGCTTCTTCTGTCTTCTTATATCTTCCCTTCTATATGTCTTTACTACTGACAGTTATGTAGACTGTATAACAGCTAGGGCTGCATGATAAATCGAAATTGAATCAAAATTGCGATTCGACAGAAGCTGCGATTGTCATGTGTATCTTTCAGTGAAGCACGGTTCTGTGATCAGCAGTAAATCTCCATTCAAAGGACTTGTCAGTGAACTACGGCTCTGTGTAGTAAATTCTGCTCCATCTGAAAGCACGTGATGATGATTTCCTACTGATTACAGAACCGGCTTTACTAACAAAATGCGCATGACAATCGCATTCGATTAATCGTGCAGCCCTAATAACAGCTCTACATTGTCCCAATTATGGTGCTTTTTGGTCATAAACACCTCTGATGCAGTACTTAACAAATAAAGCAATAAGACCCAAGAAGCCTTGGTTTACAGTGAATTTATAGCAGCTAAGGGGCGTTGTTAGGTACGACGCGAAGCGGATTGCCTAAAACCCCCTTAGCTGTTATAAATTCATTGTAAACCACGGCTTCACGGGGCTTATTGCTTTTATAAAACGGTTATTCCATATACGTAGTTAGGTTTCACAAAATAAAACAGAGCAAATAAAATGTAATGATATTAATAAAAACAGTATTCTTCCACCAAACAATCAGAATCAAGGACCAGAACTCTCCGTTTTATAAAACATAATTAGTGCTGGTAGATTATTTACAAATTGTAACCTGTTACTGACTCCAAATTGCACGGCAAAAATTGTAGTTAGTAATGTAATCCATTACATTACACACTTTAGGTGATGTAACCGGGGTACTTTTTGATTACTTTTGACCCAACTCGATTATCACATTGATTTAAATTGGATGATCTTGCATCATATTTATATAAAAAATTCTTAAAAATGAGGTTCGTGCAGGGTTTTGTGAGTTTAATGGAAACTAAATCATAAAAATGTAAAATTAAAATAAATAATTTCAAAATAACAAAGATCAAAATAAAACACTTACTAAAAAAGATGAAATATTTTATTTGTCTATGTGTCATGTGACCATTAACTAACATCATAACCGAGAACATGCAAATGTGTTACTTAATTAACTTATTACCTTAAAATCTTAGGGGTTCTTCAAGTAGTAAATATATTAGATGAAAGAAGTTTTTATGACCAAAAAAGTTTGTGAATCCCTGCATTACTTGTAAATAAGAAATAATGTGATATATATTAATAATATATTAGTAATATATTCTCATTTACTACCTAGCACTGCACATAATAAACCTGAATCATAAGAGTGACAATAACTGGGTGAATCTTAGGCATCATGCCCGATTTGTTTTGAGCCAGGTGTATTTTGAATGCAACTTCCAAAAATGTGTCTGTTTTTAGTAATTTAGTATGATTATATTAGGTAAAAAAAAAATTTTGGGGTTAGGTCACCCAAAAATTAAAATTCAGTAAAATCCGCAAGACTTTCGTTCATCTTTAAAACGAAAAAGAAGATATTTTAATGAAATATGAGAGATTTCTGTCCCTCCATTGAAAGTTTATTCCACCAAAACGATGACTCTTCAGAATATTCGTAAAAAGACATTGTAAAAGTCGTCCATGTGAATCTAACCAGTTTAATCCATGTCTTCTGAGGATATATGAGCACTTTAAATGATGAGCAGATTTAATTTAGGCTGTTCTAGACATGTACACATTGATCAATGCACATAAATAGAGCTCATCAAATATGGTAAAGGAAGTTAAAATGTGCTTACTTCATGCATGACAACCAATGAGATTTGTTTTTGCATTTGAGCTTCCATTTACCATATTTAATACCATATATGAAGTTCGAAAAAGGGTGCATAACACCAACTTCACAAGGAACATGTCTTGGGGCATATTTCACCACACAGTAAAATGGAAAAAAATTAAATAATAAATAATGTTTTGCATTAAGACGTGAAGTCTAGTTTAGGGTGGTTAAGATTTTCTGGCACTGTGACACTATTGTTATGACAAAAGCACATTTCCTTCCCAGTTCTCAACAGTGTCATGTGTCACAATGATTTATTTATTTATAGAATACAGAAATGCAAGTCATCATGACTCGGTGTTATTTACAAAAAATAAATAAATGAAACATCTCAAAGACAGTTCAGTGATACCATGATGTTTAAATTCAATTAAATTATATTTTATTCTTAATATTCCTTTTTTTTTTAAAGCTTTGCATTAATGCGAATTTGTAAGAATGTCACAGTCTTAATAGTTCTAATAGGCCTTTTGGTGATAAATAGAAACCTTTTTTCAATTTTTTATTTGTGGGTAAAATATGAACCAGATATTTTCTTGACAGGTTTTATGAGATTCACCTAATAACCTAACAATCTTTACATTTGTCTCGTTCTGTTAATGTTTGATAAAATCTTACTTTAGGAGTTCATTTTAATTTAACTAAATGGAAGGAACAATTTAATAAGTTATAGGAATAAATTCTTAATTTGTGGCCACGATATCTTGTTGTTTTTTCATGTTATGTCATTGCTTTGGGGGTGCAAATTAAACTAATTCAGAAAACACAGCAACAATGTCCTATATTGTCATTTCCACTGAAACCAATATGTGACCCTGGAGCACAAAAGCAGTGTTAAGTCGCTGGGGTATATTTGTAGCAATAGCCAACAATACATTGTATGGGTCAAAATTATTGATTTTTCTTGTATGCCAAAAATCATTAGGATATTAAGTAAAGATCATGTTCCATGAAGATATTTTGTAAATTTCCTACCGTAAATATATCAAAACTTAATTTTTGATTAGTAATATGCATTGCTAAGAACTTCATTTGAACAACTTTAAAGATGATTTTCTCAATATTTAGGTTTTTTTGCACCCTCAGATTCCAGATATTCAAATAGTTGTATCTCGGCCAAATATTGTCTGATTTTTCAAAATATTGTCTTATTTATTCAGCTTTCAGATGATGCATAAATCTCAGTTTCGAAAAATTGACCCTTATGACTGGTTTTGTGCTCCAGGGTCACATATCAGGTCACTTTTAACTTTGTCCTGTCATGTTTACAGAGACAAATTCATTGGTGCCTTCAGTGCTCAAAAGCCCATCGCCTCCAGCACCGTCTGTCCTGAGCTCGTCGTTATCTCCGGTCTGGTCAGCCGTGAAAGAGGATGAAGCAGAGAGTGACGCTGAGCTTGCAACAAACACGATTTCCAAATGTTTTATCCAGATTGGTGGAATGACCTGTGCCTCCTGCGTGGCCAACATTGAGAGGAACCTCAAGAACGAGCATGGTATCCCCAGTGCTTACTGATTACAGATTACACGATGAAAACTGTAGTTAGTAATGTAATCTAAGTTACTCATTTCAGATAATGTATTCTGACTACTTTTAGATTACTTTTTTAATCAAGCTTGTTTTAAACTTACCATTAAATGTACCACATTGATATAAAAAACCAAATAGAAAAAAAAAAAATTTTTGCATAAAATGCATTACATTACACCAGGGTTTCCCAAACTGCGCTTAATGTAAGAAATGCAGTGGGTGTGTAATAATTAAATAAATAAACAAAATGCAGTAGGTTAAGCTAATAATTAAATCATAAAATGTAAAATAAAAATAATGTAAACACTTGAACACTAAAAATAAAAATATTTTATGTTTTATAATATTTTATATTTAATATAAGTATAACAAATATTGAATATTTATTTGTTTGCCTTGCATGTTAATGTGACCGTTGACCATCAATGTGATTTTTAGAAAGGAAAACTAAAAGAGAATCAATAAATTATGAATAATTTACTTATATTGTGTGAATGATATGTAATCATGTAATGCATTAAAAAGCAATGGTAATCCGATTATTATGAGCATTTTAAAATGTAATATACTCTTAATTACAAGTACTTAATTTTTGTAATTCAGATTACATGTAATCAGTTTCTAGCCAGCATTGGTAATCCCTGGTCTTTACAAAACAAAGTCATGCTTCAATATAATTGCACTGTATTAAACCATAATGATGGTGTCTAAAATTGATCAGAACAAATTTCATAATAATAGGTTAGAATGCTTATTTACATACACAATATGTAAATGCTGTGTTCAAATCTCAGGATGGCTGTATTTAATGTGGCATCGTGTCTCTTTTCCTCAGGTGTACACTCAGTTTTGGTTGCACTGATGGCCAGTAAAGCCGAGGTTCGATTCAGCCCGTCGATCATCGATCCTCAGAGAATAGCGGAGTTTATCCGAGAGCTCGGCTTCATGGCTTCAGTGATGGAGAATTATGACGGCTCTGATGGGACCCTGGAGCTTGTGGTTAGTATGTCCGCAGATCCTATTGTTGATTTTTTACCCTTTTTTTTTTTATTATCAACACGAGTTTGTTGTTTTTAATAGGTCAGAGGGATGACATGTGCCTCCTGTGTTCACAAAATTGAGTCTAACCTGATGAAGCAGAAGGGCATCCTCTATGCTTCAGTTGCCCTGGCAACTAATAAAGCCCACATCAGACATGACCCAGAAGTGACCGGCCCGAGAGATGTGATCAGATGGATAGAGGTGAATTCACACACACACCCACATTATATTTATTATATGTATATGTGTGTGTGTATATATATATATATATATATATACTGCCATTCAAAAGTTTGGGATCAGTAAGACTTGTAATGTTTTTTAAAGAAGTCTCTTCTGCTCATCAAGGCTGCATTTATTTGATCAAAAATACAGGAAAAAACAATAATCTTGTAAAATGTTATTACAATATAAAGCTAATGGTTTCTATTTTAATATCCTTTAAAATATAAATCTTTGCTATCACTTCTTAACAATTTAATACATCCTTGCTGAATAAAAGTTTTAATTTCTTTCAAAAAAAGAAAGAATAAAAATTTACTGACGCCAAACTTTTGAATTTCTATTTTAAATAAATGCTCTTCTTTTTAACTTTTTATTCATCAAAGAATCCTGAAAAAAGTATCACAGGTTCCAAAAAAATATGAAGCAGCAACAGTTTCCAGCACTGATAATAAATCAGCATATTAGAATGATTTCTGAAGATCATGTGACACTGAAGACTGGAGTAATGATGCTGAAAATACAGCTTTGATCACAGAAATAAATTAGATTTTAATGTATATTAAAATAGAAAAACGTTATTTTGCATCATAATAATATTTCACAATATTACATTTTTTCCTGTATTTTTTTATCTAATAAATGCAGCCTTGATGAGCATAAGAAACTCCTGTAAAACACATTAAAAATCGTTCTGATCCCAATACTGCTCATCTAGTGTATATATATATATATATATATATATATATATGCAATTTTAAATAGTTCAGCAATTTGCTAAGCATGAAGTATGATAATCAGTGATTGGTTTTACACCAAGAGCACTGTTTTACTTGGCATTCTAAATCAGTTACTTATAAAGTTGTATATCAGTTCAATATGTTCTGGAACAAAGCTATAAATAATATTATAGGGAACCATGATAACCGTTTTGTAGCATGTGTTCTGACATGAACTTCCCTTTTTTGATGGACAGAACTTGGGATTTACAGCCTCTCTGGTGAAGAAAGATCGTCCTGGGAGTCACTTGGATCACAGCCGTGAGATCCAACAGTAAGTGCATGAGCGAATAAGAGCAATACATAAATACCTAACATAATAATCATGGAGTTTTAACATAACTTCTTAGTTCAAATGCTGTTTCCAGAGGAACCTAGTGAGCTGGCTTGCTGACCGCTGCCTACCTTCAGGCTTCTTAGGAAGCTTCAGAATTAAAACAAATCCTCTTGAGTGACTCATTTGAAGAGCTTTACATTGTGCCGCGCAATATAGCGATCCTTATGTGATGCACATGGTAGACTATATTAGAGTCTGAAGTTTTAGGAAGGGTCATCGCCAAAAATCTTTTAATCTTCAGTAGAACAGTCAAAAAGATTTTTAGCTCAAACCGTGATCCTTGTTGATTCATAAAATGCAATCAGTGGCTGCGCGTTTTTTTTTTTTAGAATAAAAATAAAAAGCATATCAAGGACCAAAAAATTATTACCCATGGATAAATCTGATTCTTTTGCGCAAACTGGTTCTTTCGTTTGACTAGTTTGCTTACATAATCACACAAAGATGTAACATATACACAATTATATTATTAAAGCACCCAATAATGATGTAAAAAGTGAATGTTTTACGTGTCTAAAGCATATAAAGTGAATTAACTAGTCTTCATCAGCTTGTCTTTTTACATAAACAATGAGAAACCATAACTTTCATTTGGTCTCTTCATTCAAGTGTTCACGCATGCTCATATCAGCGGCTCATCGTCTTCGGTTTGAGTCGAACTGTTTCCTCAGTTCAGTGACTGTTGGAGGAACTGAATCAGTTAATTCTTCATAGCATCAGATACGCCGCTGTTTTGACTCATTTTGAGTCAGAGTGACTGTCAGGTGTCTGAAAATGAGATTTGATTGAGTAACTGAACCGTTTCAGACGCTTCAGTCCGATTTGGTGAACTGATTCAACTTGTTCGCCAAAAAGAACCGGTTCAAAAGAATGATTCGTTTGTGAACCGGACATCACTCCAGACCTGGATTTTCTTGTTTGATAATGTCGCGGGTATCTCTCTTTCTACAATCTCCCAATTGCTCACTCTCTCTTCCCCATCGTGAAAGTAAACACCACTATCTGTTTTTCTTCCACATGTCATGTGTGGGGCTCCATGCCAAAGCAGGCATGCAATGCTGTCTTAATCTTGACAAAACAGGTTGCTGCTGCATCTATGATGCTTTAGGGGCCTTTGAAACATTGCTTTGAAAGCATGCAAGATTCAGGCAGTGGAAAGTGGCAGGAAGATGCATTTTTTTTATTTATTTTTTTTACTTGAGCGCTGCATTTTTAGATTGCTGTCACATGTGCGAGATGCTGCAGAAGACATGAGACAGGCTTACAGCAGTGATACACGTCTGTCTAGTGCATTTACATAGAAAAACAATGGAATGGAAAACGCTTTCTATGTGAACGGTCTCTTAAAATGCAACAATAGTTAAGCAGCTCACAAGGTAGTAGATCAGAGCTAATGTTGGCATCCTGTTTCCTCGCAGATGGAAGAGATCATTTCTCATCAGCTTGTTTTTCTGCGTGCCTGTTATGGGCATGATGATCTACATGATAATCGTGGATCACCAGATCGACATGTCCCACCACCACAACGCCACGGCCGAGGACAGAGAGAAATACCACTCCACCATGTTCCTGGAGAAACAGCTTCTGCCGGGCCTCTCCATCATGAACCTGATCTCGTTTCTCTTCTGTGTCCCTGTGCAGGTCGGTTACCTGCCAGTTTGTGGATTATTAATGCACTTTCTATGTTTCAAGGGGTCATATGATGCGATTTCATGTTTTCCTTTGTCTTTTGAGTGTTACGAGCTGTTTGTGCATATGTGACCCTGGAGCACAAAAGCAGTCTTAAGTCGCTGGGGTATATTTGTAGCAATAGCCAACAATACATTGTATGGGTCAAAATTATAGATTTTTCTTTTATGCCAAAAATCATTAGGATATTA